CTTATCACAACAGACATTTATTTCTCAGTTCTGGAGACTAAAGTCCATGCTCAGGATCCATGCAGGCCCTCTTCCTGGTTACAAACTTCCTGGTTGCTCACTGTTCTCACATGGTGGGCGGGGCAAGGAGCTTTCTCGGCCAGCTTTTATAAGAGCACTAATCTCATTCATGCTGGCTCTCTATTCATCACCTCACCACCTGCCAAAGGCCCTAATATCATCACCTTGGGAGTTAGGTTTTAGCATGTGAATTTGGGGCGGGGGGGGGGCATTGGTGAAACATTCAGTCTATAGCACCAACTTTAATGTCCGCTGACCACAGCTGGCCTCACAGAAGTCCAGCTCCCAGCTGGGCAGAGGTGACAATGGCAGGGCACATCTGGAGCAGCAACAAAAGGGGGATGGAGGGGGCAGCCAGAACCCAGCACTTAGCAGGGAGGGGCTTCTCCATTCTGGCCAGCATTGCCCTTCTTAGTTGGCATCGGAGAACTTGGGCAGTGGGTGCTGGGGTTCGGAGGAAGGCTTCTTGGGGGGGGGTGTTTCTATGTCATTTCTGGGTGTGTTTCTATGTCATTTCCTCTCCGCCCTTCTTGGGTGGAGCAAGGTGAGGTGTTTGTCCAAAGGTTGGAATGTGCAGGTCGGACGGATGCATTGTTCAAACAAGGAGGGCACCCTTCAAGGAGGCAGCTGACTGAGGGGACCCCAGAGCAGCCCCAAAGCAGGGACCCGGCAAAGGGCTGGGCATGAGGGGCACGGCCCAATCGGATCCTGGGCCCCTGGCGGCACCCATCAACCAGTTCTCTGGGGGTTTGCAGATACACCATGGAGGGATGGTTTGTTAGTAGAAAGAGAACAGACTGAAAGAAGGGATGGGTGGGAGAAGAGAGGTGTTGCCAATGATAAGGCTCACTTTCCTCAAGGGCCGGCCCAGGCCTCTGGAGTTTCCGCTCCGTATTTAAGAAGGGGTATTAATCAGAGTGTAGGAGGGGGTGGCCAGCATGGAAGTGCCCACGGAGATCGCAGCACAGGAAACCTGGGGCTATGGCTCCCCAGTCAGATCTGAAGGTCAAAATCAGAATTCAAGCTGACCCCTCCTCTCCCTTCCTTTTGCTCCTTCTGCTCAGCAGCCAGGTAGGAACAAGAAAGGTACACAGGAAGGAGTCTGTCCAGGGAAGATGAGTGTGCCCATGCTTTCGTGGCAGCTGCATCATACCTGTGACCTCTGGCAGCCTGAGTCACCTGTAGGGGGCTGGCTGAGGGCCTGAGATTATACCTGGGGAGGAGGGGCCAGTGGGAAGAGACCATAGCTTCTCTGGCGAAACCAATAGCATTTACTAGTAAGCAGGCCAGGTGCCATAGCCAGCAAGAGTGGGACGGATCTGAAAGGGG